CCGAGAGAGTTCCTCAAGCAGTTCGACGCTCGCAACGAGCTGGTCATCCCGCGCGCTGACTTCTACAGAGGTCTCGCGTCCGCCGGCCTCTCCCTCACCCCGCTCGAGATGGACACGCTAATGGAAGTGTAAGTTACTCCCACCATGTATACTTACCGACACTTCTTAAGGAATCAAAGACCATCCGAACTATTTGCCTAAAAAGATAAATAAGCTCTAAACAATACACAACAATTTATTCAGATTTTAATTATTTTTTTGTTGGAAAGGAAATAGTCTCAGAATAGTCCCATGATAAGGAAATCAGGGTCTGATGATGGAAGACCAGAGAAATAGAGGGGAACTTTCAAAAATTGTAGGGGCGAGTAGTGCTTTTGCATGTGGTTTTAGTCGGATTTTTACAACGCTACAACTTGCTGATGTTCGAACTCGACCTGATGTAGGAGCCGGAAGACAGTCGAGGGATCTCCTTGACTATTTAGAGTAGTTGCCTTGTGTTTGGGCTTCAATGATTTGCATCAAGATAGGTCGTGACTTTCATTAAGGGTCTGATGATGAGAACAAAGGACAGCCTAGGGAAGTCAGTGCCAAGTAAATGCTATATACCAAACAACATCAGTATAAGACAAATATATTGATCGGACCTCCTAATCATCAAACTAGCAAGAGGTATGTAGGTAATATCTTTACACTATTATTGTTTTACTTGGCACTTATTAAATATTATTTTCTTTTTAACTAAATGAAAATACTACTCTGTCAAGAAAGTACCGGGAAAAAGTCAATAATACACAAAATGTTTGTTATTCATCTAAATTTATTTTATCACCTTCAAAGTATGCTCCTTCAGAAACGATACACTTACGCCAACGAATAATCCAATCATCGAAACTTTTTTTAAACGCTGTTTCCGGAATTGAGTTCAGTGCTCGCCGCGAATTCTCCTTTATAGCTTCTAACGATTGAAAACGGGTGCCACGAAGGGGTAATTTGAGTGTGGGAAAAAGAAAGAAGTCGGCTGGAGCCATATCTGGTTAATATGGTGGCGGCTCGATGGTGTTTGTTGAGTGTTTGGACAAAAAATCGTTTACAATGATGGCCTTGTGCGAAGGCGCATTATCGTGATGCAAAATCCAAGAATTTTCTTTCCACATTTCTGGCCTTTTTCGTCGAATTTGTTCTCTTAAACGCCGCGTACCGCTCAAATAATATTCTTTATTTACCGTTTGACCTTCGGGCAAGAATTCTGAGTGCACAACACCGTGATAGTCAAAGAAAACAGTCAACATGACTTTGACTTTTGATCGACTTTGACGTGTTTTTTTTCGGTTTTGGTTCAGTTGGAAGGCGCCATTCCGAAGCTTGTTGACTAGTTTGCATGTCAAATTCGTAAACCCACGTCTCGTCACCAGTAACAATGCGTTTCATGAATGTTGGGTCGGTATTGACTCGTTCTAGCATGTCCTCAGCGACTTTCATGCGATTTAGTTTTTGAAGAAAATTCAGGTCTTTTGGGAGTAGCCGAGCGGCAACACGTTTCATACCCAAATTATTTGTTAAAATGGTACGGATCGACTCGTGAGATACAAAAAGTTCGGCGGCCATCTCTCTCAAACTTGAATGAGGATTTTCAGTCACTATTTCCTTCACTTTTGCAATGTTAACTTCAGTTGCAGACGTTGATGGCCTACCAGAACGAGGCAAATCTTCCATCACATCTCGACCGCTTTTGAACGCTTTGTACCACTCATAAGCACGTGTTTTTGATAAAGTCGATTCACCGTAAGCCTTCTGTAACATTTTGAGTGCCTCCGAACACGAAATTTCATTGGCGATGCAAAATTTAAGACAAACTCTTTGTTCGATGTTTTTGTCCATTATGAAATTCGCAATACACACTAGATATTATAAAACTAAAAACAGCACTGTTTTTAATATAAATAACAGATGCAACTCAAATTCCGCGCCAAAATGGAAAACAGTTATGCCAATCTAACAACAACAAAAAAAATAAAATTCGAATTTGGAACCATAAAAAAAACATTCATTCCCGATACTTTGTTGACTGAATGTATATATTACTTTGAACAATTTAAATTTATTTTTTGCTTTTTAATTTACTTTTTGAACACGGTTATTTTTGTAAAGAAATATTTTTATTAGTTTACTTTTTGGAGTCGGGTTTTATTTTATTTTTTTGTTCAAAATTACTTTATTTTATATATAAAACACTATTTAATAACCAACTAAACAATGTATCAAAGAATCTTTATGTGAAACTGATTGAAAAAGAGTAACCATGGAGTTTCTTGCTCGTTCTTCTCCATCGGAATCTACACTTTGGAACGAGCAAATAGCTTCACTAGAGGACTGAGCGACAGACTGTCACTTTATATTCAAAATTTTGTTTGACGTTTAAAAAGGCCTGAAGGGGTTTAATTGAATAGAATAGAATAAGACTTTATTTGCTAAGAATGCAGGTACATACAAATATGATCGAAAAAACATAATAAAGAACCTTGTACATTCTGCCTAGTTGGCATGCAAATATAATTATTATTGTACAACTAAGTTAAATAGGTGATTAAAATGTATCATTTAAGAAATCCTGAACAGAATAATAGCATTTATCTACAAGTAATAGGTAATGTAAAACATTTTTTAAATTTAACATAACAGGAGCCATACATATCACACTTTCTTTTAATAAGCTAGCCCCTCCTCACGACACTCCGGCCGTCGGGGATCGAGAGACGATCTCCGGCCACCGTAATCGCAGGTCTGCGGACGATGATAAGGTTAGCTCGCCGCCCGACCAGAACCAGACCCGAGCGTGCGGCGCGTAGCGTTCCGCTCGCGCCGCAAAGAGCCAATAGAGCCCCACATACGGGGCCCTATAGAGCTGATTTTTAGCCGGGGTTGCGGGGCAAGCGCAATGAGACACCGCGACCTTGGCCGAGAGCAGGAGAAGGAACGGGGGGTTTTTAATCAGTAAGAATCTGGCACTACCTACCGCCCGACCTTGGGCGGGAGAGGGCATTCGATGATTTTCCCGCACAAAAAAAAACTCTGAACTAGAATATTAAATAAATGAAACTAAAAGGGCACATTTATCACATTATTACCAATAAAATTCTTATAAAAATCAAGTCCACCATCAAACTGAAACACCTCGCTCTGCAACCCTTGGCCATTTACTACTATCAATATCAAATCTATACTAATATTATAAGGAGGTAAAATTTGTAAGTTTGTAAGTTTGTATGTAGGGGGTAGTCTTTGGAACCGCTGGTCGGATTGCTAAAATTCTTCACTGATTGAGAGCTACAATGTTCCTGAGTGCTATAAAACATCACGCTACGATTAAATGCAGCCGAGCAGGCGGCAGGTGAAACCGCGCGAAAGTAGCTAGTTATTAATAAAAACCGACAAATGTGATTAATTTATTCCGTTTACCTCGACTTTTGGTAATTATTTACTCTTACTATAACATAAACATACATAATAGCTTTTACAAATATTAGTTTCCAAGCTGTACAAAACTACCGTGACATGTTGCTCATGATGAACAGGTTCTGCGCGCCAGGGCGGCGCCGCTACGTGGAGTACGAGCGGTTCTGCAGCACGGTAGGCGAGGCGCTGACGCAGCCGGGGCTGGAGCGCGCGCCCCTGCTGCAGCCCGTGCCGCACGTGCCCACGCTCGACTCACCCCTCAACTTCCTCAACTTCGAGGAGCGGAACATTGTGTCTGGCGCACTTAAGAAACTCTCCAAGTTCCCCGACCAGCTCTCCAACATACTCGAAGTGTTTGAGGTCAGTAATAGTCTAATGTGCACCTCATACTTTTCACACCCAATCCAACTTAAAGTCTACCAAGTATAACCCCTTAATGTCCAAAAAAATGCAAACTGGTATCGGCACCTAATGGTAGACAGTGTACACTAGCGTGACTCTGCTCAGGACATGGACAAGGAGCACTGCGGCACCATCCCACGGGTGTCGGTGGAGCGCGCGCTGTGCCAGCGGAACCTGCTGGCGCTGGTGTCGGCCCGCGAGCGGGACCTGCTCTACAAGTGCTTCGGCTACAGGCGCGGCTGCGGTGACGAGGTCTGCTCCTACTTAATATACATAATAACACTTCTACAAGCGTAGCTCACAAGTATTGCCTGATGCTAATCAAGTAGGGACTTGCGTAGACTATACAGTACGAGTACGATCTCTGTCGCTAAAGATCCATTACACCCGACTAGCCGAAAGACATGCTCTATAACATCACTGCACCTCTACCTACTTTTCATCCGGGGTTGCGGGGCAAGTGCTATAGGCCCTATAGCACTTGCCCGAGGGGGCCGAGGCCGCTGCTATAGGCCCTATAGTATACGGGACCGCGGCCTCGGCCTGGCGGAGGAGAAAGATCGTGGTGGTTTTTAGTCATTAAGAATCCGATACTCCCTTTCGTTCAGCCTTTGGCGAGAGGGTAATTTTTAGGCTTTCAATTTATATTTATTTTTTATGTGTAAAAAAACCCCTATCTGCCTTAGTTTCGGGAGGTACCTGTCTCGAAAGGAGCAGGAGGAAACGCCCTTTTATTTAAAAAATAAGTGGCTAAAGCCTGGCCTCCTCTATGTTTTGCTGGCTCGTGTAACGTGCGCTATTTCCGGCAGGTGAACTACCGCGCGCTCTGCAACGCACTCTCCATTCTGTACGCCACGGCGAGCGCCCAGCCCTGCTGATCTGCAGACCTGCTGCACGCCACACTACTGTGTTCCAGTGCTCCCGTCTCCTGTGTACGTCTGACTACACCCTAACCCTTTTAGTGTAAAATCTATGTAGGCATGTCTCTACAGATATCCGTGCAATGACAATAAATAAATTTTAACTTTAATAAAACTGACTTTTATTCAATAGATATATTACATAATAAACGTCAAATTATTGTAATTAGATTTCAAATAAAGTAAATATATATAATACATTACATTACAATGTTAGAGTTGTTAATAGTGAGAACTTTTGGCTTAATGAGGAATGAAAATTTATTTTACTTTACATTATTTAATATGGAGTAGACGTTTCCTGAGCTGATGCAGTAGACCCTTCGGAAGAATCAGCAACAGTTGCACTAGCCGTGGGAGTATATGAAGTCCCGGTATCAGTAGCATCGGTAGGTAGTGTTGTGGTGTCAGTGGGCGGGAGTGTGGGCCGCGGTCGAGGAGGACCTGTCGTGCAGTTGACGTTGTTGGGCCAGTCGCAGACTAGCAGCTCCGGGTTGAAGAGCAGTCCGGCAGGGCAGCGCCGACACGCCAGCGGGATGCCGATGCCCAAGCTGCTGCAGTAGTAGAAGAGGCGGCAATCGCGAGGGTGCGGCGCCAGCGACACCGTCATGTTGACGTGAGCACACGCCTCCCACCCAGCGCGGCGGTCTGCGCAGCCACGCCCCGGCCGCCACGGCCGCGACACGTCGCGTATCCTGCACAATATTACAATTAGATACACTATATCAATTGTCTTCGTGCAGCCTATCCAATACTTTTTAGGGCCATGAGAGTCAGAAGAAATTCAAAACGTAGGTAAATACTCGTGGCCATCTTATCTAGCGTGGTCACATGTTAATGTAAAAAGTGTATGTAACTCACCAAGATGGAACACCGTGGTGTCCAGCGAGACAGCTGGCTAGCACACAAGTCAGCAACAATAGTTTGTACATGTTGGCGTCGCAGTGGGCAATGTGCCGGGCTCGGTGCTGCAGCCTACTTATTGCAGCTGTCAAGTGGTATTCTGAATCAGCCGTGCACTTGATTTGATACTGAGTACCTGTTACTACACCGAACACTTAGCATGATATCTCCTACACTTGGGACAAAAACCCACAACAACACGTGTTGGAGACTGACACTCCACAAAATAAATATGAACGTACAGTAGTACCAAGTTATCTGTGAAATAGAGAAAATGGGAACTACGGCCGCCATGTTGAAATGTCATTTGATTGACAGTTTCTTCAGTCTTTCAGTACAGTGATTTCTTTTGTTTTCAGTGTTTAACCTTCCGAAAGCAATTAAAAGTGAAGCGCGAAGCATTAATATTTATGTCAAAGGCTTTTTTTGAATAAAAAGCTCTGGTGGAGGGGTGGAGGCTCAGATTACTCCATTTAATGAAGTAAACAAACGAATTTCTTCGGCTACAGGTGAGTGATGTCTACTGTGTGTTTGTAAATTACCCGATATTTTTTCATTTATTACTTTTTAATGTGAGCTTGGCTTGGCTTCGGCTTACTGTAAAATTCTGATAGTTACGTTTATCATATATTTACAGTTTATAGCAACACAGGTTACGACTCGTCCAATACGGGCGTCCCGTGGTCGCATACCCCCGCGCTATAGAGATAGCGCGGCGCTCTTCTAACTTATAATTTCGTTTCACCTTACGCGCGCCTCTTGCGACGAGGCGCCGGCGACCGTTAGCAGCGCCAGTCCGCCACCGTCCGTGTACTGTACGCCCGTATGCGCTTCCCGCCGGCTGCTAACCGCCACTCTATGTATGTTGTCACACAAAGTTAGTGTATTAGTATTATCTCACTTAATACCTATTCGGGAAATCGACCCCGCGAACTCTGTTAACTTTGTTATATTTAATTGTGTTTCTCTCATGTACTTTAATTTTATATGGTAAGTGTTTCGGTTATTTCAATATATTTACTTTATATAACTGCAGTGTGTGCGTTATTGAATCTCTACAACCCTCACTCCCATAAGTTTGTAAATACTTCATTACTTTTGTCTATATTTCAGGTGTGAGTCAAGGGCTAATTTTAAGAATAGTTAAAAAATACATGCTGCCGAAGAAGCTGCTACAAAAATCAAACCCCAGGAAAAGAGAGGAAACGTCAAAGTGGGACGTCAAAAAGTCAAAATAAATTACACAGCACAGACCTGCACATAGCGAAATTCTACGAAAGCTGCTCTACAATATGGGTTTTGATAATGATAACACGGATAAAAGCGGCATATTTATGGCCTCACTGCCAAGATAAAGGTACTTTTGAATTTACTTATTTATATTAAACTTGTGTTTTGTTCACCCCTCGCATAAATTGTTAAGAAATGCCCGTGCCGTATCGTAGGTTCATGATGATGATGATGAAACTTGTTTTATTCTATCTTTTAACAGCTAATCATGTCCTAGGACACGTCCCGAGTGTGAGATATTTGAATTTTGTTTAATTGGAGAGGGCCAGTACTATTTTTTTTTGTGTCAAGCTTATATCTGCTAATCTGAATGAATTTCCTTTTTTTAACATAACATTTATTGACAAGTTATTAATTTTATTGTCTACTTTGATAAACATTTAGTTTATAACCGAAATATTTAAATTATTATAATATATTGTTACGTGCCTGACGTCACGTTCCTGACTATGCGGGCTTGGGTTACGGGATTGGATGAAATGAAACACTAATACCGGTTTTCGGACTTTCTATTGCGCTTAAGTTACAGCGTCCACGGAGTTAAGTTATCGGCGTTCCTCTCCAGCAGAGTCCGGCCGACTGACACAACTTTGCCGTTCACGCTAACTTCACTTAACTGACTGCACTTCACTATTTCACTGCACTTCACTATTTCACTCACTTTTCTTCTTTTTCACTTCTTCCTTTTCTTCCGAATCGCTTTAGACTTAGAACTCAACTGCCAGCGGTGAGCCGCAGTTCCGCTTATATACCCCCGGTCAGGTTCTAGAACATTCAATTTCGTTATTCTTTTTTGATCGTCATGCCTCCAGAACCTTCCAATAATTTCGTTATTCATTTTTATTTATTCTCCTTCTCGCTCCTTAATTTTTCATTACTTTCACTCAAATATTCCAGAAAGTTCGACAAAACTTCCATCAACTAAAAAACTTCATGTTTACGGCGGGACTCGAACTCGGGGTCTCTGTGGTGTAATCCACACGCCTTACCGATTACACCAACTCGTGTTGACAATTCACGACGAAATTTACAATCTCTAGGCAACGTTTGACAACCATCCATTGACGTCATGATGTCAAAGAGTTTTCTGTCACACTGCCCCCCTCTTAGATTCGCTCGTCCCGAGCATCGTTGCTGCCGTAATACCTCGCCAACCTGTCTATATGGACAACTTTCAAAGGGCTCCTTGAAGACTTCCGAATTCTGTAAGTAATGTCATTGATCTTCGTGACTATCTCGTAAGGACCTTCCCAACTCGGTTGCAGCTTTGGAGATTTTCCCTTCCTTCTGACTGGATTATGAAGCCAGACCAATGACCCCTCTTCAAACCCAACAGAATTGGCTCGTCGATCATAGCGCGTCTTTGCGCGATCACTAGCTTGAAGACCGGCCTCCCTGATCTGCTCATAAATGTCCAACATTTTTGCCCTTAACTCGCTTATGTAATCGCTAAACTCGGTGCGAGAGTCACCAGGTGGACAGCCCGATACAAGATCTGCCGGTAATCTCAATTCCCTTCCAAAATTTGCAAATGCAGGCGTCTTTGCGGTACTTTCATGTACAGCAGTCCGATAGGCAAGCAAGAAGAGAGGTATGTAAGTGTCCCAATCTCTCTGATGGCTGTCAACCACCTTTGCTAAGTGTCGCTCCAATGTTTGGTTGAAGCGTTCGACCATTCCATCTGACTGTGGATGATAAGGGGTCGTTCGAGTCTTATGGATTCCCAAAAGTTTACAAGTTTCCTGGAAAACTTGGGATTCAAAGTTCCGTCCTTGATCACTGTGCATCTCCAAGGGCACTCCGAATCGGGTGAATACCTCGTTTACCAACTTCGTGGCTACAGTTACTGCCTCTTGATTCGGTATGGCAAAGACCTCCGGCCATTTTGTAAAATAATCCATAACCACTAAAACGTAGCGATTGCCCGAATCAGTGATTGGAAATGGTCCAGCGATGTCTAAGGCTATTCTCTCCCAAGGCATACCAACATTGTAGATTTTCATCGCCCCTCTGCTTCTTGTTTGTGGACCCTTGACAGCTGCACAACTAGTGCATTTCCGGCACCAATCTTCGACGTCATATTTGCAATGCAACCAATAAAACCTCTCCTTGATCTTCACCAAAGTCCTCCTAATTCCCAAATGTCCTCCAGAAGATCCATCATGGAACGCTTTTAATACATCCCTTATTTTTGAACGAGGCACCACCAATTGCAAATGCTCGTCCTTGCCGTTTGTTGATTCCCATTTCCTGCACAGAAGTCCGTTATGCAGCGTAAGGCTTTTCCACTGTGCCCATAAACCTTTCGTTACCGCGCTATATTGGGCGACGTCACTCCAACTTGGCTTGTTACCACTTCGTAGCCACTCCAGTATTGGTTTGATATCTGCATCTCTTTCCTGTTCTAATTTCATCGCATCATCTCCCCATGCCTCGTCAACAGTATCAGTCCTTATCACCTTAAGAAAAGCAGTTTCCTTCTTGGCACAATGCTTGCAATCTTCCACGCATGGGCGTCTCGATAATGCATCTGCGTTGCCATGAATTCTTCCGCCGCGATGTTCGATTTCAAAGTCAAATTCCTGAAGTTGTTCCAACCATCTGGCTACTTGGCCTTCGGGATCCTTAAACTGAAGCAGCCATTTCAAAGCAGCGTGATCAGTTCTGATCAAAAATTTCCGTCCCAGTAAATACTTCTTGAAATGGTGCAGAGTTTTGACTACGGCCAGCAATTCCCTCCTGGTCACGCAATAATTCTTCTCCGGCTTGGATAGTGACTTGCTGAAGTAAGCAATAACCTTCTCCTGCTCACCATCGCGTTGTGAAAGGACACCTCCTATTCCAATATTGCTGGCATCCGTATCAACTACGAATATTCCTTTCGCGCTGGGGTATCCGAGAATTGGTGTGTTACAAAGCCGTTCTTTTAGTTCTCGAAAGGCTTGCTCACAATCCTCGTCCCAGATAAAGGCACGTTTCTCCTCTGTCAATCGATGCAAAGGCTTGGCAATGTCCGAGAATCCTTTCACAAACCGCCGATAATACGAGCACAATCCAAGAAATGCCCGAACTTGCGTTTTGTCTTTAGGTGTTGGCCATTCCTTAACAGCGGCAGTCTTGGCTGGATCAGTCTCAATTCCTCTCTCAGAAATAACATGTCCTAGATAATTCACTTCGCGCTTGAAGAAAGAGCATTTCTTTGGACTCAACTTTAAATTTGCTCCACGCAGCTTATCGAGTACCTTTTCCAATTTCCTTAGATGATCGTCAAAATCCCGTCCAACAATGATGATGTCATCGAGGTAAACTAGGCAGGTTTCGCCCAGCAGTCCCGCCAGCACCTGTTCCATCAAACGCTCAAAGGTTGCCGGTGCATTGCATAATCCAAATGGCATCACCTTAAATTGCCAGAGTCCCTTCCCAGTTGAGAATGCGGTCTTTTCCTTGTCCTTGGGATCCAAATCCACCTGCCAATAGCCGCTTTTCAGATCGAGCGTTGAAAACCATTTCATGCCACTCAGTGTGTCAAGTGTGTCATCGATTCTTGGTAACGGGTAGCTATCCTTCTTGGTTACATCATTCAATCGTCGATAGTCTACGCAAAACCTCGTTGAACCATCTTTCTTCTTGACAAGCACGACAGGTGAACACCAAGGGCTAGAAGAGGGCTCTATCACGTCATTTTTCCTCATATCGTCAATCATTTCTTCAACCTCTTTCTCACGAGCGAATGGTATGCGTCTGGGCCTTTGACGAATTGGTATTGTATCACCTGTGTTTATTTTATGCTTCACCAAACCAGCTCGGCCAATATCACCATCGCTTCTTGAAAACACATCAGAGAATCGAAGAAGTAAATTTCTAGCTTTCATAGTCTCCACTTTTGTCAGACTTTTGTTTTCGTCTAAGATTTTCGTTACAAAGTCTATTCCCGTACTGTCCTTCTTCACAAGATTCTCCGAGCATTTTCTTATCCAGGCCACTTCTTCCAATACGCCCACAGGCTCTCCTTCTTCAATCGTAATTTTTGAATC